ATTGCAAACTATGAATGATTATTAATTATCATCACTTTATCCGTCACTGAGGGAAGCCAACTGCGTAAGAGCACTATTGACTATATTTTTAACAACCCAAATGAATTTTAAAAAATTTCTTCTTAAAATGTAACAAACTGAAAAAAAGAAATATTCGTATCCTACCTTTATCCACTTTTTTTATCCGTCTTGATCATACAGGCAGTCATAATTTCATTGCCAATTTCCAATGTAAATGAAACACACAAATAATTATACAGGCAGTCATAATCAAATTTAAAAACAATTTCAGATTTGTTTAAAATCCAATGTAAAATCAATTTAAACACACAAATTAATTATCCACTAAATCATGGATCTTTTCCTCAAAATTTTACATTTGAAAACACAAAATCTTTGGTTTCTTAATTTTTTTTTTAGTTATTAAGCCAATTAACGCTTAACAATATACAATAGATCTTTCTCAAACAATGTTAAAACAACTTTGATTGATTGAGTATTTAAAAACTTGCTCATAAATAATAAGTAGATATTCAGGAGGATAAATAACTTCTACCATTCTAAAAAAACCAATGTTCTAAAATACGGTATACGCTACCCGGGAGGTGGACCACCGTATAGCGTATAGACATATACGCGGATATTTATGTGGGGTATATACGGTAGATATTTTTGCATATTTATGCATATATATACAAAAATATTTTGTTTTAGTAGGTAATAGAAAAAGTATTATCATGAATTCTATAAAAGAAACTTAAATGATTAACATTAACATGGTAGTTTTAATTCAAATAGTAAAATAACAAAGTTGAAAATTGTTTCAAATAACAAAGAGTAGAATTATATCAATTATACTTTTGGAAAAAAGGTCAAAAACATAGTTTGATTTGAAATTTTTGGAAAGTATACCTTTTAAAACTATATATTTGATAATTTAGTTATCGTATATAAAAAGATAATTTTTTTTCCTTTAAAAATACGTATAGCATAAATACGGTACGACCAGCCATTGTATAGCGCATGGACGCCATATATACGGATGCCTAGACCATATTTTAGAACACTGGAAAAAACAAAACAAAAACTTCTACCATTATATACATCAAAAAGTGAAAGCAACTCATCGGAACAACATTTTTAGCTCTTCAAGTCTCGCCGACCGGACTTCTTCGTCGGTTAAAGCTCCGGCAATCATCCTCTGCTTCCTCGCCTGAACTTGCTGCATCCGTTCCTCCACTGTATCCTACACACAATCATCCATTTGATTCACAAGAAACAATGTTAAGTTACTTGAGAGATCTTACAAGTTTAATTACTTATAAGGCAAGAAACTCAAAAAATCCTTTTAGAATTATTACCTTGACAATGAATCTTCTGACGCATACAGTTCGTTTCTGCCCGATTCGATGAATTCTCATGATCGCTTGCTCTTCCACCGCCGGATTCCACCATGGATCCTAAGTGTTTCAAGAAACAAAGCAAAACATCATCATCAATCCATCAAGATAAAGAAGAATTCAAAGCAAGCTTGAAGAGGAGATGTTACCAATAAGAAGACACTTGAAGCTGCGGTTAGATTGAGACCGACTCCTCCAGCTTTTAGAGACATAAGCAGAATCTGATACATCAAGAAAGCATAAAGATCTTAAGCTCTCTGTTCAATTCAAAACAGAGTTTGATAGTTTTTGTTAGAGACTATCCATTTACTTACTGTTTTCTGTTTGGTTTCATTGAACTCCTTCAAGACTTTTTCTCTCGCTTTCTGAGCCAGCTTTCCATCGAATCTGAGAAATCCGATGCCTCTTCTTCGCAATGGAATCTCCAGAAGATCCAAAAAAGAAGTCCATTGGCTAAAGACAATGCTCTTCTCACCCGAACCAGATTTCTGAATCTTCTCTAAGCACTTGAGCAGTTCTGTGACCTTTGAAGACTCCTTCCAGTTCTTTACCACATCAACACGGAATATTCTTTCCGTTGGGCACGAGATAAGCTCGGTTTTCTTAAGAATCGTCCTGCAGATTGGGCATAGACCACAAGACGGAGACCTCCAGCTACTAAGGAGACATTCCCGGCACATCATGTGAGCACAAAGTGTGAGAATGGGATCATCTGCAGACTCCAGACATATTGGACATTCTTTGTTATTGCCATCGCGTAAATCTTGGATAACTTCTTCGACATATGCCCGAGAAGGAGCGTTTTGGGAAACAGAGTCAGGATTGTTATCAAGAAACCTCCTTGCAAGGCTATCTAAGTCAGCATACTGTTGTGAGTCTGCCCGGCTGCAAATTTCTGAGTGTATTA